AAAAATATAATAAAAATATCATAATATCAACCACAAAACATTAAAAAATATATCCATTTAAATGTTACATATATGCCAGTCAAGGTTCCTACTATGTGAACACCACAGGAGAGAGGTGTGGGAGGACACAAAAGAAACACACACCCACCCCAAACCTTATTAACTTACAGTACAGCCCTCCCCAACATCCAGCACTATGTACATATGATTCCATTGGGGGGCAAGAAAGTCATTAGGACTAGGTGAAGAACATTCTTAGCTCAATGTCAACAATGAGCTTCAAAAGCACCTCTCCAAAGCCAAGCAGTCAAAAATGGGGGTATACTGAGTAGGTAAAGTAGATGATCAAAATCACTTTAAAGAGGAAGACAATATAGTAGATACTGTACACAAACAAACTTCCTCACACTATCGTATACAACCACATTCACCCCTCTAAATAATGCATCAATTGTACATACCCATGTACAGTTGCAAGAAAAAGTATGTGAACCCCTTGGGATTACGTGGAATTTTGCATGAATTGGGCATAAAATGTGCTCTGAACGTCATCTAAGTCACAACAATAGAAGAACACAGTCTGCTGAACATAATACTACACAAACATTAGATGCTGCCATGGTTTAATTGCTCATAACATGTAAACATTCACAGTGCAGGGAGGAAAAAGTATGTGAGGCCCTAGCTTAATGACTTCTCCCAGAGCTAATTGGAGCCAGGAGTGAGCCAACCTTGACTCCAATCAGTGTGATGATATTGGATGTGTTGCTGACAGCTGTCCTGCCCTTAAAAAAACACACACCTGTTTTGGGTTTACTGGTTTCAAGAAGCACTGTCTGATGTGAACCATGTCTCGCAGAAAAGAGCTCTCAGAAGACCTACGATCAAGAATTGTTGACTTGCATGAAGCTGGAAAGGGTTACAAAAGTATCTCCAAAAGCCTTGATGTTCATGTGTCCATGGTAAGACAGACTGTCTACAAATGGAGAAAGTTTAGCACTGTTGCTACTCTCCCTAGGCGTGGTCGTCCTGTAATAATGACTGCAAGAACGCAGCGCAGAATGCTGCATGAGGTAAAGAAGAATCCCAGAGTGTCAGCTAAAGACCTACAGAAATCTCTGGCACATGCTAACATTTTTGTTGACACATCTACAATAAGGAAAACATTAAACAAGAATGGAGTACATGGGAGGACACCATGGAGGAAGCCATTGCTGTCCAAAAAGAATATTGCAGCACGTTTGAAGTTTGCAAAAGAGTACCTGGATGTTCCACAGCACTACTGGCAAAATATACTGTGGACAGATGAAACCAAGATTGAGTTGTTTGGGAAGAACACACAACACTATGTGTGGAAAAAAAGGCACAGCACACCAACATCGAAACCTCATCCCCACTGTAAAACATGGCGGAGGGAGCATCATGGTTTGGGGCTGCTTTGCTGCCTCAGAACCTGGACGGATTGTTGTCATTGATGGGAAAATGAATTCCAGAGTTTATCAAGACATTTTGCAGGAAAACGTACGACCATCTGTCCGCCAACTGAAGCTCCGCAGAGGATGGGTGATGCAACAGGACAATGACCCAAAGCATACAAGTAATTCAACAAAACAATGGCTGCAACAGCACAGAATACGCCTTCTGGAGTGGCCCAGTCAGAGTCCTGACCTCAACCCGATTGAAATGCTGTGGCATGACCTTAAGAGAGCGAATCACACCAGACATCCCAAGAATATTGCTACACTGAAACAGTTTTGTGAAGAGGAGTGGTCCAAAATTACTCCAGATCGTTGTGCAGGTCTGATCTGCAACTACAGGAAACGTTTGGTTGAGGTTATTGCTGCCAAAGGTGGGTCAACCAGTTATTAAGTCCAAAGGTTCACATACTTTTTCCTCCCTGCACTGTGAATGTTTACATGTTATGTGCAATTAAACCATGGCAACATCTAATGTTTGTGTAGTATTATGTTCAGCAGACTGTGTTCTTCTATTTTTGTGACTTAGATGATGTTCAGAGCACATTTTTTGCCCAATTCATGCAAAATTCCATGTAATCCCAAGGGGTTCACATACTTTTTCTTGCAACTGTACATAAGCTGTAAAGGTTATACTGGCTAATATTTTATATTTTGATATCCCAAAAGATGACTTTCCACTAGCTGTGGCACTTGTCCCAAAACTAAAACTAACTTCCAGCCCAGAATGGCAGATACCTAAGCAAATATTTACTTTTGGATTGGTTTGACAAGGGAACTTATTATATCTCTTTTTAAACTTCTTCATGTGGGTACCCAACACACTCCCTCCTCATGTCTTTCCATCAAATCAGAATACGCACCAAATATTTTCATGGGGTCTTTATTTGATTTTTTCTCCAACTCAGTTAACATCTTCAACATTTTATAATAATTTTTACTAACATATCGCTGATCTGTGGGAAAGCCCTCTAAAGGAGCATTTTTCTTTTTTACCTTAGGTCCTTCAATTGTGCAGTTAAAGCTCAATTTCTGGACAAAAAGGTTTAGATTTTTTACCACCTCAAATTGTATCTATATTGTTAGTTGGGCAGAAGTCCAAATCATATTGCAAAACCTCCTGTTCGGCTGGGGTAAGTACCATATATAAAACAGACAAGTTGATTATTTCAATCCCCTTTCTCTCACTGATTTATTTTGATCCATTAGTGCTCGGGTCACATTAGCTCAGTGATGGAGAAAAATTTAGGGAGAAGAGAAAAATTGGAATACTAGTCAGTACCAGTGTGCAAAAGTGTATTTGCTATGGAAGAATAAATCGCCACTAATGTTTGGTGTACTGTGTGTTTGGATGTTGCTTAGAATAGTTTTTACATATTAGAATGGGTTGCCTCAAGACTGTCCATAATTTTAAAGGGTGCCTTGGGAATGTCCATAATTTTAGAAGGTGCCTTGTCATTGACCATAATTTTAAAGGATGCCTTGACTGAAAAAAGGTTGAGAAACAATGCCCTAGACCAGCAATGGGCAAACTACGGCCCGCGGGCCGTATACGGCTCCCGCTAGGCTCCTCTGACAGTCCGCCCTGAAGACCGGTGTAGCATGAAAATCTGTCTCCTATGAAGATCTGTCCCCCTCGACGTATCTGCGCATGTGCCGGAGATCGCCGATCGGCTGCTAATGCCTGAAACTGGCACATGCGCAGATACGTCGAGGGGGACAGATCCTCATAGGGGACAGATTTTCATGCTACACCGGAACGGCGCGGGAACACGGCGAGAGGAACGCGCGGAGCAAAGGTAAGTGAATTGACTCAGGGGGGACTTGGGGACTTAATATGGGGGATGAATTACTATGGGGAATGAATTACTATAGGGGGGATGAATTACTATGGGGGATGAATTACTATATGGGGGATGAATTACTATATGGGGGATGAATTACTATGGGGGATGAATTACTATATGGGGGATGAATTACTATGGGGGATGAATTACTATGGGGGGTGAATTACTATGGGGGGATGAATTACTATATGGGGGATGAATTACTATATGGGAGATGAATTACTATAGGGGGGATGAATTACTATGGGAGATGAATTACTATATGGGGGATGAATTACTATATGGGGGATGAATTACTATGGGGGATGAATTACTATATGGGGGATTAATTACTATGCTTACTATGGGGGAATATTACTATACTTACTATGGATGACACATACACATCATTCATCTACTCTTGGTCCGGCCCCCGGGTCCAATATATGAACCCATTGCGGCCCTCAAGTCAAAAAGTTTGCCCACCCCTGCCCTAGACTGTGCCATGCTGTACTCTAGACTAATAGTCAACTAGTGTGTGTGTTACAGATGGAAGCAGTCCCTGAGGCCAGGTTGGCCAGGAGAGGAGGGACAAAAAAAATGGGTGTCACATGTTATTCCACTTTTACCACAGACATATCTTTTTTGGGGTGACCCTTGTGTTGGGGTACCTTGGAGGACATCTGGAAAATGACTCTCATGCAGCCTGCAGCCGGCTAACAGCATATGGATTTAGGCTTTGGGCCACAGTGCCTTCTTGAAACAGCAGGGCTGTGATGATGGCTACCTGAAAGGAATCCAGTTCTTCCAGTAGCTTTATGAATACCAAAAGCGTTGCATATAGAATTGAAATATATATATATATAGACATTTTTTTGTACCAGTGTCTAACTCTGTGGGAGACTAAATACGGCTTCAGCATTTAAGAGACATTTAAAAGGAAAGAGTGCAGTTGGCCCAAGAAGGAGAAGGCTGATGGTGGTTATCCATGATACTAAATGCTGTATGACTCACCTGTGATAGGAAGTCAAATAAATGTGGGGAGTGTTCTGTGTTTATGGTAGAGTATTTTGGGAACACTATGGCACTGATTGTTGGAAATGGAGCATTTTTTGAGCACGGACACTTTAATATGTTTGAAGGCATTGTGCATTATACTGTGAATAACTGAAAGCACTCGGGCACATTATATGCACAGAGAGACTTTACTGAAGCAGAAAGGACACTTTATTGAATCATGTTTAATTGTTATTTGAGGATATGAGCATTGTAGAGAATATGCTGGTCTATTGCACATGTTTAACCACTAGCCTACAGGGCACTTATACCCCCTTCCTGCCCAGGCCAATTTCCAGCTTTCAGCGCTGTCACACTTTGAATGACAATTGCGCGATCATGCAACATTGCACCCATATGAAATTTTTATCATTTTTTTGAGACAGATAGAGCTTTCTTTTGGTGGTATTTAATCACCTCTGGGATTTTTATTTTTTCTTAAACAAACCAAAAACCACTGAAAATTTTGGGGGAAAAAATGTTTTTTCTTAGTTTTTGTTATATAATTTTGTAAATAAGTGTTTTTTCTCCTTCACTGATGTGCACTAATGAGGCTGCAGTGATGGGCACTGATAGGCTGCACTGATGGACACTGATAGGTGGTACCGATGAGGAGGCACTGGTAAGTTGCACTGATGGGCATTGACAGGCATCACTGATGGGCACTGAAAGGCAGCACTGATACATGACACTGATACATGACACTGATACATGGCACTGATAGGCAGCACTGACTGGCACTAATAGGCGGCACTGACTGGCACTAATAGGCGGCACTGACTGGCACTGTTAGGCGGCACTGACTGGCACTGATAGGCAGCACTGACTGGCACTGATATGCGGCACTGACTGGCACTGATGCGCACTGATAGGTGACACTGACTGGCACTGATAGGTGGCACTGATTGGCAACACTAATAGGTGGCACTGATTGGCATTGATAGGTGGCACTGACTGGCACTGATGGGTGACATTGAAAGGCAGCTCAGATGGGCACTGATATGTGGCATTGATGTGCACTGGTATGCACTGATATGTGGCATTGATGTGGCACTGATGGGCACTGGCACGTGGCACTGATGGGCACTGGCACGTGGCACTGATGAGCACTGACAGGTGGCACTTCTGGGGCCACACTGATCATCAGGGCACACTGATCATCAGTGCCCTGATGATCAGTGTACATGTCCCCTCCGCGGAAAGCCGATTACCGGCTCTCCTCTCCTCTTGCGCTGTCAGCGTGACAGCTCGAGAGGAGAGAAATGCCGATAACCGGCATTTCCGTGTTTACATGTGATCAGCTGTGATTGGACACAGCTGATCACATGACCGATCCGACATCTTTGGTTCTTTCCGTGATCCGCTGTGTCCGTGGGGGACACAGCGCACCGGCGATCGCCGCGCTGCGCGCTCCCTGAGCCGCGCATGCGCAGTGAGAATGGTAGGACGTCATATGACATCCTATCAGAACAAGAGAACCATTGGGAGAGGGGCGGAGCCTAACTATGGCGGGTAGGAGCTCCCGCACGAGGCCCCTCCGACCTACCCCCCCTTGGACCTCTACATTCCCCCCATGGAGATGGAGCACTAGAAGGCAGAGACCTTCCTTGACCGGGGGACTTACTGGCTCCTGTGGCTACCCGCGGTGAGGGGAGTTGAGAGCGGAGACCGGCGGCGGAGAGAGGCGGGGACGCTGAGCCTGGACGCCGAGCCTGGTTGCCGGGAAACAGGGAGGCGCGGCTGGGACATGTGACCGGCCGCGGTGCATCCCTGGGAGGCAAGGTAGCCGGCCGCCCGGCCGGAGGCTGACAGAGAGCAGGAGAGATCCCCGTTCTGTCGGACGACCTGCTATCCCTGGAGCCTTGGCAGGGGATCAATGGTGAGCCTGCCCAACAATCCAACAAAGTAGAAGAGTGTGGAGGAAAGTCCTGGAGGGTCCCCCTGAAAGGAAGAGAGCTGATCTATCGAGAGAGATGGAGAGTGGAGCCTAAAGCTGTCTCACAAGAAGCGCAGGAAGGGTGAGTGAGTCTGGCGGTGGCCCCAAATATTCAAAAAAAAAAAAAAAAAAAACTGTATAGAGCTGGGAGAAAGAGAAAAGGGGGGGACCCCCAGAGAATAATAATAAAAATAAGGAGAAGAGCGCAAGGTGTAGCCAAAAGGCGTACAGAAAGGTGGGAAGACAGAGCTGGGAATTCTACCTCTATATCTTATCAGTATCCCTGTTTCTGTAAAGTATAAGTCTATGAGAAGAAAATAAAAGTTACAGAAGAAATGAAAAATAAAAGTACAAAAGGAACCGGGCCTAAGGGGACCCAAATTGGGACAATTAAAAAGTATACATCCCAGGGAAATGTGACCCCAGAAAGGCCCCAGAGCAGAAATGATAGAGAGTCTGATTTAAGTATGCAAAATAGTCCTAAACAATCACTGGAATTGGATATCAGTAATCAGCAAATATCAGAGACAGAAAAAGACCTACAAATCCCAAATAAAAAAGAGATGACAGAAATGTTTAAAGATCTGGAGAGAACAATAAAGCAAGAAATGGTAAATATTCGGAATGACCTGGGGCAGCTGTTGTTAAGGGTGGAAGAAACGGAGCAGAAAGTTGAAAATCAGAACCAGATTATTTCCGAATTAGAGAAGAGGATAATTAATATGGAAAAAACTCAGGAAAAATTGCAGTACAAGGCGGAAATCCAAGAGAATAGAGAAAGAAGGAGAAACATAAGGATAAGAGGGATACCGGAAAGTTTAAAAGGAGAAATATTGGAAGAGATGGTCTGCAAAATTCTGAACTATATAATGGAAAATTCTGAAATGGAAAGGACTAATATAGAAAGAATCTCTAGAAATGGGAAACTCCAGGGAAATTATGAGAAGGACAGGCCGAGAGACATACTTGTAAAATTCTATGAAGTACAGCAAAGGGAAAGACTCTGGAGGAAAACTAAGGGAAAATCAGCTATAAAGTATGGAGAAATGGATATTCAAATATATGCGGACTTGTCACTAGAGACTCTCCGGAGGAGGAGAACTTTGAGGCCTTTGCTGGAGCAGATGAAAAAACAGAAGGTGCAATATAGATGGGGAGTTCCGGAGAGTTTAATAGGATGGAAAAATGGAATAACAGCCCAATTGAGGTTCCCAGAGGACTTGAGAAATTTTTGTGATAGACTTGAAATGCAGAAAATTGAAATAAACGGTTGGGAAGAAGATTCTGGGGGAAATAGATTAAAAAAGAGGGGAGGGGTGGAGGCGGGTGGGGGGGGGGGGGTGGAGGGGGGGGGGGGGGGGGGGGGGGAGGAGGGGGGGGGAGGGTGAGTGAAGAGGAGAGAGGTTTTTTTTTTTTTTTTTTTTTTTTTCTCTATCCTTGCTCCCATCCCGTTGCCTTTTTTTTCTCCCTTGTCCCCTCAGCCTGACTCCTTTCTTTTCCTTTCTCAGAAAGTACAAGTAGAGAGGAGGTCAAGGGGGGGATTTGGAGGGAGGGGAGGCCGTCCATGGGAGGAGTAAAGCCCTGAGGATTAAGTCAAAGGTGGATACTGCCTCCACAGATGACGGTTAGGCAAAGTGAAGGCCTAAAAAAGGGGGGGGGGGGGGGGGGGGGGGGAGGAGGGAGGGGGAGGGAGAGGGAGTAGATTGAGGGGCGCATGGAGAGAGGGGGGGAGGGAGGGAAAAGGGGAGAGAAAAGGGTAGAGGGATAAAAACGCTCCATAGGAATAAGAAAGAAGAAGGAAAGGAGGAAGAAGGAGACGGTAGAAAAAGAGTAAGATGGAAGAAATCCAATATATAACCTATAATGTAAAAGGGTTAAGTTGTCCAGGAAAGAGATTCAGGTTATTTAAAGAACTCCAACATAGAAAATCCTCAGTGGTATTCCTGCAGGAAACACATCTAGAGATGGAGTCGAAGGTTAGACTGAGGACTAGATATTTTCCAACATGGTTCTATGCGGATTCACCAACTAAAAGAGCAAAAGGAGTTGCTATAGGATTCGCAAAGAATATAAGGTTTGAGCTGGAGGAGAGATTAACAGATCTGGAGGGAAGGTTTTTGTTTTTGAGAGGTAAATTACAGGGAATTGAGTGTACAATAGCAAACATATACAGCCCAAATAAGAAGCCGGAGAGGTTTATGAGAGAAGTGTTGAGGAGATTGATGGATTTTAAAAGTGGATGCATGATAGTAGCGGGCGACCTAAACATCTGTATGGACCCGCGGATGGACACCACTTCCTCTGTGAGGAGGGAGGAAAGCAAATCTTTGAGAATGTTAAAGAAATTGATGCATGAGTGTCAGCTGGTAGACATCTGGAGAATTAGGAATATGAAGGAGAGAGATTATACTTTCTTTTCGCACGTTCATGAGACTTATTCTAGACTAGATTTATATATTAGTAGAACATCGAATGATAGAGCTGGTAGTAGAAGTAAAAATTGAAGGAAGTACCCTGTCAGATCACGCCCCAGTTGCAATGAAGTTGAGATGGGGTAGAGAGAAAGGAGAGAAGGTTATGTATGGCGGTTGAATGAGGCACTTCTCATGGAGGAAGAGATTGGTCAAAGAATTGAGAGGGAAATTGAATGGTTTTTTGGAGAGAATGAAACAGAGGGTGTCTCGGTTGCAACGGTGTGGGAAGCTCATAAAGTTTATATCAGAGGTCTACTCATTGCAATGGGAGCAAAAAAGAAAAAAGAAAGAAGAGAAAAGATAAATAGATTATTAAATGAAATATATGATCTTGAACAAGTGCATAAAAGGGAAAGATCTAAGGAGATAATGCAGATGTTAATAAAGAAGAAAGAAGAATTAGAGAATGTAATGGAGGAGGAAAAAAGAAGAATCTTTAATAAAAAATAACAAGTGAAAGATATAGATGGGGAGACAGGCCGGGAAAGTATTTAATGAGAACTTTAAGAAAAAAGAAAAAATAGAAATATATATAGAGAAAATAAGAAATCCCAAGGGGGAATTTGTACATTCAACCAAGGATATTGCTAGAACATTTAAAGAATATTATAATGAGCTGTATAATATTATACCCCAGGATACGTTTAAGAAAATCGAAACAGTAAATAGAGGGGAAAGAAAGAAATATCTAGAGGAGGCAGGCCTACCGAAAATTAGAGAAACACAACTGAACTCTTTAGAGGCAGAAATAACTTCAGAGGAAATAAAAATAGCATTAGAAAGCATGGCGGGAGGGAAAAGCCCAGGTCCGGATGGATATACGGCCAAATACTATAAAAAATATAAAGAGCTTTTAATACCTAAAATGAAGACCTATATGAATGCCTTGGGGAATGGGATGGAGATGAGGGGAGAGTCTTTACAGGCGAATATAGTATTGATACAGAAGGAGGATAAAGACCCCTCACAATGTGCGAGTTACCGCCCAATAGCGCTGCTGAATGTAGACACTAAAATATATGCAAAGGTTCTGGCAAATAGACTGAAAGAGCTGATGCCTGAGTGGATACATGGAGATCAGGTGGGGTTTGTCTCGGGAAGAGAGGGTAGAGATAATGCTTTGAGATCATTGTTGCTTATACAGGAGGGCAAAAAAGGGAAAACCCCAATGATACTGATGTCGATAGACGCTGAGAAGGCATTCGACAGAGTGAGTTGGGGTTTTATGATGGATACTCTGGAAGCATTAGGAATGGGAGATAGAATGAGAGGGTGGATTGGAGTGAGTTGTACAGAGGGCCTACCGCTACCATAATGGTAAATGGAGGAAGATCAGAGTACTTTAAGATGTCAAATGGTACAAGACAGGGATGCCCATTGTCTCCATTGCTATATGTGTTATCACTGGAGCCCTTGCTGTCCATGATTAGGAGGAATATAGACATAAAAGGAATAAAGATAGGTGATAGAGAACACAAGGTAGTGGCTTATGCGGACGATCTGATGTTTTATGTAGGAAACCCTAGAACATCACTTCCAAATTTAATGAAAGCATTGAGGGAGTACGGAGACCTGTCAAACCTAAAAATTAACCCGAAAAAGACCGAAATCTTAAACATAAATCTCAAAAATAGTGAAAAAAAAAAAAACTACAAGAGGAATTCCCTTTCCTTTGGAGAGATAAAGAATTAAAATATC